CCTCTTCACAGGGATTGCAATTTGGGACGTTGTGGCCCATCCATTTTCGTAGATCCGTACCAGGCCTTTTTTAACTTCTAGTGGGACCGACGAAGATTCGTCTCTAAACTGGATTGTCATGGCATGCTCGCGCAACCATTCGGCCTGGATTTCGTACAGTTCTGGGTTGACAATTGCTTTAACATAGTCCTCTCCCTCCTCTACCCTGGATGGAGCCAGGGGGGGGGGAAGGGTCCCATCCAAATAGCATCGAGAAATAAAGCCGTGAATGCGCTGTTTCTCTTCCGGCGAGCTAGACCGGAGAGGCCTTGGTGAAGCCATGTGGATGGAACCAGGCAGTGATAGACTTAACACGTCAAATTCTAAACCTTAAAAAAAAAGGAAAGGAAGAACGCCCCTATTGTGGTATTAAATACCTACTTACCTACTTAAGTCGAAGCTTCCAATAAACCGGGATAAATTATTACTTCCTCAGAATAACCGTGGCGAGTGAGACTGGGGATGGAATAAGATTATACCTGCATGTCTTCTCCTCCATCCAGCAGGGTGGAAACTTCTCCAGTCGAAGCTCATCCCTCCTTTAGCCTTCTTCCATTCAGCACGGCTTGATAATTCGAGAAGCCCATAAGGCTGGACATGTAGAGATGATTGTGGCCTTAGAGTCTCCACCCCTCCTCGAAGATTCTTCTTCTGAGGGTTGATCCTTCATTCCATGTCAACTCTTCCTCCATCCAGGTCCAAAGGTAATCATGATAGCATCCACACATATTAGGTCACTAATCCACGCCTCAAGGCGGCCCTATCCCTGTCCTAATCTTGCTTGGCGGCGCTTAAACCAGGCAGGAATTTTAGCGCAGGATTAGCCCTCCACCAGTCAGATACATTTACGGAAGTGGTAGTGTGAGGCTGTTAGGCGGAAAGGCATAATTTTTTTGACTTTTCCTAAATTTTCATTCCGTGAGCCCAAACGAATTTCCCTAAGACCTTCCGCCTAATTTTTTTGACTTTTCCTAAATTTTCATTCCGTGAGCCCAAACGAATTTCCCTAAGACCTTCCCGATGCACTCCTTGGCCCCTAGAATTTCGGCACTCACCTGAGCGCTGAAGAATAAACAACGTTTTTCACGGGATAATGGGTAGAAAGAGCCCACGCCAAAACCTTTTCGGTTTTGGGCACCCAAAGTTCGGCCGTTTGGTACTACCGGCCCAAACAACTTTCCCCTGGGTGAAAGGCGCCTTCGCGCCGTGGCCACATCGCCCTGGGCCTGTTTTTACCCGTTCAGGAATTCGGCGCTGTTTCTGCGCCAGATTCATGAACCGGTAGGGCCCTTCTTTTTCAAAATGGCGTACGTGGGCCTCATTCAATACTTCCTGCCTCTTTTACATCAAAACGAATCTGGCCCTGTTATGCGCCAGGTTCATGATCCGGTCGGGCCCTTGGACTGACGCGTGGGCCTGTAGTACCCCAAATGCAAGTCATTGGGCCGGTAGTACCAAACGACTAAACTTTGGGCGGCCAAAACCGAAAAGGTTTTGGCGTGGGCGCCTTCTACCTTATCCCGTTTTTCATTGTTCGCCAAGAATAAACAACGTTTTTCACTGTTGGCGAAAAACCTCCAAGCATAAACTCACTCACTCTTGTCGCCCACCCTGCAGGTTCATGCCACTCAACTCATTGTGGCGAAGCCGCAAAACAAAGCCTAATGAGTGGTCCTAGCTATTATCCATATATAGCAAAGAGCACCCATTCCAGCCCAGGCCCAGTCCCACTGGAGCTGGCCCAAGTCCTGGCCCAACCCAGGAGCCCAGGTAAGATCCCATTCTGATCTGCAGACTGAAGAACGGAATTACCTCCGAAAGTTGCGACCCATATAAACACATGCCCTACGCCCTGTGAGCCACCGCTGTAAAGTCCACCTCCAGACGGGAAAAAAAAGGAAAAAAAAATCAGGCGGCCGCGTTTCTTGTTTGGACGTTTGCCTCGATTCCATCTCGACACTCGTGCCGGCCATGTGTTTCCACGTTTCCGCTTCGAAACTCGTGCCGGCCGTGTGGTTCCTCGTCTCGCCTCCGAAACCCGTGTCGGCCATGTGCTGTTGCTGGTGCACCACTGAATGCCTCTCGACACAACACACAAAACGACAGACAAACGCGCAGAAAAAACACAAAAAAAGACAAAAAAGACAGGACTGCATCTGCCCTCCGAACCTCGCAAGATCGTTTTTGTTCGTAGCAGCGACTGAATCATTCCACCTTCCCTCGGAAGATGCGCTCGTCTCTTTCTTTTCGTGCTTGGTGCGAATCCACGTTGGAAGAAGAACACGGTGTTCTTTTCTTCCTTTTTCTTTTTCCGTTTTTTTAACTTTTTTACGGTGCTCTTCTGATTACCTTCTTCCCCTTGCCAGACTTCTTCCTGGGGCAAAGGGACGTGCTGTGCTTGTCGACGAAGTTGTCGTGACGTGCAGAAAAATGGGATTTCATCTCCATTTCTGCACAGTCAGTTAAAACCCATCCCGATTCAGACCTACAATCCAATCCTCCTTGCTAATCAGGTACCTTACCCCGGCTTGCCTTCTCGAGATGTATGCGTGTCGTCCCAACGCAGGCGGCAAGCCGACACTGGGTTTCGCCGCACGGCGCACGAAACGGAAAAAATGAAACGTGCGCGTCTTCCCGCCGAACTACAAATAGTATAAATAGTACGGGCGGATGTATATTGTTACGGTCAGGTGCGTAACGGTCAGTGGTGTAGCGGCACCAGCAATCGGAGGTGCGGTGGGTGAAGCAACCTGAGGTGGGCATGTCGGCGCGCATATCCATAGCAACACTTCCAGTCTCGCCGGAGGCGAAGGATTCTCTTTGGGTATTTCTGCCCCGTCATCTAGAGGCGCGCTTCGACGAGAGAGAGAGAGAGAGAGAGCTGCGGTGGGATAGAGAGAGGGCTGCTGCCGCCGAAGGGCGATCCAGTTGGCAACAGCTGCCAAGGTCTCGAGAGTCAAGGCGCGAGCAACCTGCCAGTGATCATTTTTTTTTGGCGCGCTTCAGGTGCCAGATCCGGATCGGACGGGACTAAGTTCCGGGAAGCTTCTTCGAATCTTCGGTGCAGAGTTCGTCAACGTCAATTWGTTTGCCACGTCGGCATCTGGCTCGCCTCCAGCGCGCGCCGTCGTCTGGCTCGCCTCGAGCGCAAAAAGAGAAAGCTCGGGCGGAGGAGGGTGTGGCAGTGGGCGGCGGCAGCGGCAGAGAAGGCGAGATGGACTCGGGCGGAGGGGTTGGCGCGCAGGGCTCCAGTCAGAAAGCAGCAGCAGAGGCCGCAGCAGCAGTAGCAGCAGCGGCCACAGAAGCGGCGTTCGTAGCGGCAGGAGAGAACGCCGCCATCTGGCTCTTCTCCAGCAGCAAAGAGAGAGCTCGGATGGGAATGCCTTTGGGCAGCCTCCGGGCAGATCTCGCTAAGATCAACCACTTTGCCACGTCGGCAGGTGGCGGCGGCGGCAGCGGCACGGGAGGCGGGATGAACTTGGGCGGAGGTGTTGGGCCGCAGGCCTCCGATCGGCAAGCAGCGGAAGAGGGCGCAACAGCAGTAGAAGCAGCTTTCGTAGAAGCAGCCTTCAAGGCAGCAGGASAGGAAGCGGCCCTCTCGCTTTTTGGAGGTAGAAAAAAGAAGGGTCGGAGGGGAGGAGGGCTTTTCCGGGGCTTCCGTGCACGGTTCCCACCCTTTAATTACTTCGCGACGCCGTCGTGGTCCTCGTCGCCAGGTGGCGGTGTGGCGGGGGGCGGGGGGATGGACTTGGGCGGAGGKGTTGGTTCGCAGAGCGCCGATCAGAAAGCAGCAGCGGAGGCCGCAACAGCAGTACAAGCAGCCTACGTCGAAGCAGCCTTCAAAGCAGCAGGAGAGAGAGCGGCCGTCTCGCTCTTCGACGACTATGAGAGCGACGAATCCGACGATGACTAGTAAGTTCAGCCTTCTTACGGTGGAAGCACTTTGTGTATACTAACAAGTATCCCTTCACGATGCCGCCAAGCTAGCTATCACGTCTTCAATGATGGCTTCGGTAGTATCTAGCCGAATAATCCGTACGCTCCTCCTGCGATGAGACAGAGTGGTTGTCCGCCGCCATCGCCGCCAACTGCAGCGGGAAGCGGTGTCATGTCCGGCACTCCTGGGGCCATTAAGTACACGATACCCCCTCTAAGCCGAGTTCGGGGGGTCGCGGCCAGGGGAGGACACTCTGCCCCAGCGCCGCCAGGGTACGGAGGATATGCTGTGACGACGCCGTTGATGTACGCGGCCGTTGCGACTGGACAAGTGCCTTCGGGAACGTCGGCGGCAGCTGAAGAACAGGGGGCTGCCTTGGCTGCACAACTTTTCTTTTTACTTAGTTAACTACTTATTGGAAAAAACTGTCTTCTCCTCATAGGGGGAAAGCTATATATATATGATATATATATATATATATATATATATATATATATTTATTTATATATTGTCACACTGTAAATCAGAGATTGTCACACTGTAAATCAGAGCGCGAAGGCGAAAAAAAGCAAAACAACCAAAGGAAAAGAAGGAAGGAAGGAAAGCAGCTTATGCTGTACCTTATGTATTCCTTTATCGTTTATATAGATTCTCTCAATCGTAACTGGCTTCTGCAATGTCATGGAACATATCCATTCACGTCTTTCACTACCTATCTACCACGGCTCCCCTAACGCTATACACAGGGGACCCTTGCAAGCATAGCTATCTACCTCTCTTTGAATCCGTTTGATTTGAAATAATTGGTTTTCACTCGACAAGATTCGATCCCAAACAATTGATTTGAATCTTCTAGATTGATCTGAGTTCAGTTAATCGGGGGATTTGATTTGATTTGATTTGATTTGATTTGATTTGATCGGATGTTATCGTTTTTTTGGTTGGGATAGTTAGTGTTGGTTCGATCTGAGCCGCTTCGATTTGACTCTGGGGAGTATCCTTCTACTGCGTCATTGCTTTCCCTTTTCATGGACGTGCTTAGATGCCCCTGCGCGGGTGGGGCGGGGAGGAATCCCACTCTTCGTGGGTTAGCGGCTGTGTTTGCTACTGCATTACCAAAGGAGTAGCAGAAACTGCTAGGTACCCTGCTACATTACAATACCTTGCACGCTATACAGGAGGTTCCCTTGCAGAATATTTTTTGTTTCTTCTTCTTTTTTTCTGACAAAACATATACCCTCACAAGCGGTGGCAAGTTTGGTTAAAATGACCCTTGGGATTTGTTAGAAATAGCCTGACAAGTGGTCTGAAAATTGAGGCCTCCGTTAACTGGCTCTCTTTCTGTTCTGGGCACAGTCAGTCCGGTTACTTATTACCCGCAAGCATTTACAAGAAATTTTGCAGTGTCATGTACCGGCAAGCATGTACAAGAAATTTCACTGTCATGTATAAAGGACATCATACGTTTGTAGTTTATGATGATCTGATGGGCAGTTAATCCCCCTGCAGAAGGGGATATCAGATTGCAATGATGTTTCCCTCCATACGTGGGAGGTACGGGGTAGACTGGGAGGCCGCGCGGCTTTGAACCAACCCCATCAGGGGGCACCTCGCCGGCATTTATTTGTGAGAAGGGAGGTGCTCTGCCTCGTTTGCTTGCGTGCAGCTTGGAGGCACGCTGCTGGAGCACCCGCTCAGCCGAGGCAGGGCTGGGCAGAGGAGGAAGAAGTTCATATCAAAGGACTCAAAGAGTAAATTCTGGTGATCTGATGGGCAGTTAATCCCCTCGTTACAGTCGKTTTTTTTTTCTTTTCTCTTTTTTTTTCCCGTTACAGCCGTAAGAGGGCAATCAATGCTGCTCATCATTACTAATTGCTCACAATTGTTTCCTGATTTGTAAATTGGGACTCTGAAACAGATTTCCAGAAGGCACAGCTCCCCAGCACTAAATCGGAGTCATCGTCTACTGGGGACTTGTTGGCGCAGGCTGCTCCTATCACCTCCGCTACGGTCTTCTCCCGAACACAACGCACCCTGATTACGGCTGTACCGAACTGGAAATTTAGCTTGTATACATTCATTTCGAGGGTGCGTAATGTTCGGGGGAAGACGGTAGTAGGCCCCCAACAGATGTATCTGGTCTCACTTACAGCCGAACCTGGATGAATCTCACGGCAATCACGTCTAGAGCTCTCTGTAGCTTGCTTATCGATTTCTGTACTCTCCGCCCGAAACAGCTTATTTGGCCATCGTGCGGTCTTCAGCTGTGCCCTAGGAGACACTGTAGGGGACGGTTTTGTTGCAAGTGTTGTTTCTCTTTCCCGTTCTTCCAAAGAAAATCCTTTCTTTTTTTTTTTTCTCTTTAAAAAAATAAAAATCCTTTTTTTCCTGTTTCAGATTAGGATGAGAGGGGGTTGCTGGGTGACCATGACAGTTTTTTGGGGTTAAGAGCACCTCCCTAGAGTACCTGGAATTTTGTATTTTGGCGTCTGCGAAAAATAAAAAACGTGTGAAAAAAATCCTTCGCTTAAACGTGTGAAAAAACGTGGGAGTTGCAAAAACGAGTTATAATTGCAGTATGGGCCAAGGTTCACTTTTTTGCAATTGCAGTTTGGGGAATGTATACAACCCAGCTTTCTGGCCAGGTGGGGTGCCCGAAGTGCAATTGCAAACTGTATCTTGCCGCATTATGATAGTGCAATTATAACTCGTTTTTGTGACTCTACTGAAGTTACCCCAAAAAACAAAAGGCACAGAAAGCAAAAAACTAACAAAAATAGGTGCATAGAATTCTTGCTGCCAAAAAAAAAAAAAAAAAAAAAAAAAAAGAATTCTTGCTGCCATGCAATAGACGGTCCTCCTGCGGCATCACAGTCGCGCCCTTCGTACATACAATGACTTGCCTGCTAGCCTTTTGGCTGATGTAATCACCTTCAAAATGATCACAGACTGAAAAACTGCTGCTTTCTGAGTTTTGCCCGTTGACTGAGTGACTTGCTGAGGTTTCCGTATTCTGCTGAAATTTCTAAGTACTTGTGTGTGTGTGTGTGTGAGCCCCCCGGGTGCTTGTGTGTGTGTGTGTGAGCCCCCGGAGGCCTATGTGCTACATGGCCCCAGCCTTGCAGTCCAAAACTTGTAGCCACAAGAAAACGAGGCCGAAACGTCAAACGCCGGTCCCGCCGTTGATAAATTAGATCGGCGGTCACAGTTTCGTTCGCACCTCCAGAATTTGAGGTGTCAGGTCCGCAGCCCAGTTGCCCATGTACTGGTGCCTTGCAGTCSGAAACTTGTGGCCACAAGAAAATGAAAATGAGGCCGAAAGCCGGTCCTGCCGATCTTGATAAATTAGATCGGCGGTCGCGGTTTCATCCAGGCCTCCAGAATTTGAGGTGTCAGGCCCCCGGCCCAGGTGCCCATGTACTGGTGCCTTGCAGTCCAAAACTTGTGGCCGCAAGAAAACCAGGCTGAAACGTCAAACGCCGGTCCTGCCGTTGATAACGTAGATTTGCGGTCGCGGTTTCATTAGGGGCCTCCAGAATTTGAGGTGTCAGGCCCGCCGCCCGGGTGCCCATGTACTGGTGCCTTGCAGTCCGAAACTTGTG